AATGGCATGAGTTTCACTGAAATTCTCTTTATAAAACTAATTTCTGGTAACTAAAAAGATTAATGGGAGCTCTGATAGTGTAGTGCCTAAGGTACTTGACTGCTAACCAGAAGGCTGGCAGTTCAAACCCACCAGCCACTCCTTGGAAGGAAGGTTGGGCAATCTACTTCTGTAGTGATACTGCCTGGGAAACCCAAGAAGGGGTCTCTATGAGTCAGGTCCAACTTGACGTCACATAACAACAACAACACCTGAGTGGTGGTGCCTGGAACAGTGCTGCATTGATGGCAGCCAGTACTATGGTGATAAGGCAGGAGGCGGGGTGGTCTCCACTGGGTGTGGCACAAGAGATGTGGCTCCCAGGGAACTTATGTGGTCAGGGGAGATGGATGGAGAGTAGGCAATTGAAAGGGAAAAGTGGAGCTGAGGGGATCAGACACCAGGAGGCTCAGACTCGGTGGGTCAAAGTGCTAACAGACATCAGGCCCAATGACCTTGCCCACTTGCATGAGCTTTGCCTGAGGATGTCCTGAGAGAGAGGCAGACAGGCCTGGAAAGGCCCACCTTGGGGCCCACCTACCTGCAATCTTCAGGGGGTTGTGGTAATGAACCTCCAGGCGGAGGTATCTGGAGGAGCCGGTGCCTCCGAAGGCCAGGCCAGCCTCCTCTGGGTAGTAAAATGCCTACAGGGTGGAAGAAGGGGTCAGGCACTGAGTTCCCAGCTCAGGCAGACCAGCTGGTGTGTGAGGAGAGGGGGCCCCAACGGTCAGCAAGTCCTCCACTGCTCAGACTGAGGTGCACAGGCAGTGTTGGGGGCAGTCTGGATGAGACGCTCACTGCCATCCCACACAGATGTTGGGAGCCAAGAGTGGTACCCCAGGGCCATGCCCCCACAACCCTCCCCCACCCCCAGATATTGGAGGAGAGCTGATGAAATTACCCATAAGTGAAATCCCTGTGGGACTAGCCCAACCACTCAGCCTGGGCCCCAAACCCTCTGATCCCAGTGGGAATAGGAGATCAGAACCCAGGAAATGTGTGAGCTCATGGGACATCTGCATTTATATAGAAAAGAAACGAACATTGGGGAAAGAACAGCAAGGTTGAGGCAGGGTCCAGGTAAGGGGAGTTACTGGGGCCCTTTCTGGAGGGGATGCTGAGGAAATGGGTAAGGGGGTTGGGGCCCCAGAGGGGCTGGGTGGCCGCACCTTGGCACCCAGGGCCCAGGCAGCCAGTACGTGGCGGCAGTAGTTGAGCCGATCCGGCTTCATCTTGGAGTCGCAGGGCCCACTGAAGTGGGGGAAGCTCTCGAAGTCAGCAACACACTGGAAGATCTCCATGTGGTGGACCAGGGCCTCATTGCCCATGGTAACAATGGGCTCATACTGCAAAAGGGGCACCCACTGAGCCTGGGGACCCACCCACCAGCCCTGCTCCACCCTCACCCACCAAGGGCTCCAGTCTGGCAACCCCCCGCCCTGAGCCTCAGTTTGCCCATCTGTGAAATGAGAGGCTTGGTGAGGGTGTCTCTAGGGGCACTTCTGGGGCTCAGCACTTGGAGCAGAATCTGTTGGAGCTCCTGGGTGAAGGAAATGAGAAGCTGGATGGGCCACTTCCTGACATGACAGGGACAGGAAGGCACTGTCTTCATGTGAACTAGTCAGGGGCTGGGCGAGGTCCCTGGGGCCTGCAGGTCCCCCAGGGAAGTGGGAAGCCCAGAAGTCAGAGCACTGAGGGTGTTGGTATGGCTGCAAGTCCTGCCACACTCCCCATGGGGTAACTTTGGCACATCAGGTGGTCTCTCTGGGCTTCATGGCTTCGACTGGGCACAGGGACAGTGACACCTGGTCCTGAGCATTAGTTTGGCCCAGCAATCATATAATCCACTCCATTCCTCCCCAGGTCCAGGTGAGGAATCTTCATAGCCATTAACATGTCTCCAGTAGGCATTTAGAGCAAGGGAGTTCTGAGTGGAGCTGGTTTTGCCTGAAGCGGAGAAAGTGAACTAACATATGGACAGCCCTAAGCAAAGATGCAGGAATGAAGACATTTGCTGCTTTGGTCCAGGCTATCTGCCCTTGGAGGGTAGGGGAGAGGATAAGGTGCAGGGACCAGAGAGTAATTGTGGCAGCTGCTGCAGGGGTCAGACAGGAAGGCCAAGGTCAAAGGTTTGGGCACTAAGTGTCCACCTGTTCCTCCAGGACCATGGACAATGTCTGGTGCCCCGAGGTCACTTCTCTCTGCAGATTCCACAAGGGTCCTGCCCTGAGAAGTCAGCCCAGGTGGTGAAGCCAGGATGGGGACCTTTCCCCCTATCATGGATTGAATCGTGGCCTCTAAAACTATTGGAAATCCTAACCTGTATGACTGTGGTTATAAGCCCATTTGGGAATGGGCTATCTTTGTTGTTAATGAGCTAGGATTAGTGTAGTTGTTGTTGTTGTTATGTGCCATCCAGTCAAACCCTACTCCCTTGCTCTAAATGCCTACTGGAGACATGTTAATGGCTATGAAGATTCCTCACCTGGACCTGGGGAGGAGTGGAGTGGATTATATGATTGCTGGGCCAAACTAATGTCAGTAGATGCCCGGTTGGCAACTGATAGTGAATGCCATTTCTAACTGTGCCCCTGCATGTCTTGCTCTCCTCACCATCTCTGTGTCAACCCCCATGGCTCCATGAGTTGTCAACAACTCCTCTCAGTGTAGGGCATGTCTTAAATCAATCTCTTACAAGATATAAAAGAGTGATTAAGCAAGTAGGGCTGGGGAAAGATAGATGCCATACTACATGAAAGCCACAAAACAGCCAGGGAACAAATACCTTCCCCAGAGTTAAGAGAGGGAAAGCCTTTCCCTAGCTGGCACCCTGAATTTGGACTTCTAGCCTCCTAAAAGGAGCTCTGGTAGCATAGTGCCTAAGGCTGCTAACCAGAAGGCTGGTAGTTCATGCCCACCAGCCACTCCTCGGAAGGAAGATGGGGCAATCTATTTCTGTAGTGATACTGCCTCAGAAATCCAAGGAGGGGTCGCTATGAGTCGGGTCCAACTAGACAGCACATAACAACAACAAGCCTCCTAAACTGTAAGAAAGTAAGTTTCTGTTTGTTAAAACCACCCACTTGTGGTATTTCTGTTATAGTGGCACTAGAGAATTAAGATAGCCCTACACCCATACCATGACAATGTGGTGCCGTGAGAAGCCAGCCGGGAGCTCGGTGATGTAGCACCAATATGTGGTCTCCTGGCTGGGGATCATGATGTCAGGAGCATGGACTTCCATGGTGCTCAGGTCCTTGGGCAATGCGGGCACCGAGATGTCAGGCTTCAGCAGCTGTACCCTCTGCAGCCCTGTCTGCAGACCTGATGTGTTGATGGCCTCCAGTGATGGGAATGGTTGTTCCAGGATGCCATACACCAGGTGCACTGTGCCATCCTGCAGCAAGAAGGCCCCATCACCCATCCACCCACCCACACCCACACATGGAAGGGCTCCTTGGTAATTGGAGGGGCACCTTGGTCTTGACCACCCAAACCTGGCACAGTTGCTTCTGTCTCTACCAATGAGGGGCTCTCTGAGGTTCAATGTGAATGGGGCAGGGTCAAATCAGGTATTAAGTGTATTTTGTCTTTCTAAATACGTTCTGTCTGCATTCACTTAACATCCTTTACACCAACATCCATTCTATCAACTTCCACTCTGCCAACATCCACTCCACCAGCATCCACTATGCCAGTATCCACTCGGTTCAATAGTCACTCCACCAGCATTCTCCCCACTAGTATCGATTCCACCAGTATCCGCTCTGCCAACATCTACACCATCAGTATCCATTCTACTTTATATCCACTCTGCCTGCAGCCACTCCACTGTATCTACTTCACTTAATATCCACTCTACCTGCACCCACTCTGCCAGCATCCACTCCATTTAACATCCACTCCACTAAACATCCACTCCACCAGCATCTGCTCTGCCAGCATCCACTCTATTTAACATCCTCTCCACCAGTATCCATTCCATCAACATCAACATCCATTCTACCTGCATCCATTCCACCAATATCCATTCCAGTAACATTCATTCTACTTAGCATTTATTCTACTAGCAACTACTAGGTCTCCTGTGAGCTGGCCCATCTGTGACATTTGGCCACTCCTTGGAAGGAAGGATGGGAAATCTACTTCTGTAGTGATACCGCCTCGGAAACCCAAAGAGGGGTCACTATGAGTTGGGTCCGACTTGATGGCACATAACAACAACAACAACAACACTAACCCCAAGGCTCTGTGGGCAGGGTGTGGGCCATCTCTTCTGCTCAGGTCAGTAACGTAGCATGAGGAATCAGTGCCCACTTATACACTGGGAAAATCAGCCAGGCACTGCCCTAAGTGCAAAAGTGGCCCTGCCCAGCACACTCTCTTGGGCATGTGGGGACACTGCCTACCTCAATGAAGTAATCCTTGGGGTCACAGGTGTCAAAAGGCCTCTTGAAGAGTAGGTACAGGCCTTCTGGAGTCTTCTGTGCCCGCAGCAGCTGGTAATCCTGCTGAGAATCCAGATGTATCTGCCCCTTCTCATCACTCCAGGCATCCTGCAGAGACAAGGAAGGGTCTGAGTACAAGGAAGCCCTGGAGGGAGGGCAGGATGGATGCAGCCTGTGGGCCTATCTGGCAAGCTCCAGCTTCATCTACCACACAATGCTCCCTTAGGGGCACACCAGCCTGGTTGGGACCCCTCTACCTCACTCCCTGTGGGTCAGGGAGTGGTTCTGGGTTGGGGGTTGCTCCCACTTTCCTCCAGGCAGCGAGGTAAGTTCTAATCCCTGCTTGATTATTCCACAGCCTCAAACTCCAGCTGAGACCTGCTACCTGAGGCTCATGGGGACTTAATAGCAATGCAGATTCCTAGGTCTCTGGGATGGCACCCAGGAATGTATATTGTTGAGAAGCGATTTGAAGACTCTGAAACTCTGCCATGCTTGGGAAGCAAGGCTTTAGACACACATGGCTCTCTTCTCCTGGGAAGAGTTGTTAACAGCTCATAGAGCCATGGGGGTTGACATAGAGATGGTGAGGAGAGCAAGACATGCAGGGGCACAGTTAGAAATGGCATTCACTATCAGTTGTCAACTGGGCATCTACTGACATTGTGAGTGATCACCTCCTTCAAGTATACAACCTGGATGCCTCACTCACCTCACCCTAGTCCCAGCTGTGCTTTGGCATGGGTCACCTGAGGTCCCTTGTTGGTGGCAGATCCTGATTTTGAGCCAGATTCCTGACTCCAGCCCTGCCCTCCCCTTAGCTGCTTCCCCTGCACTGGCCCCTCAGGTCCCGGAAACTCATGGGACAGAAGTCTCCCTGGGAGACAACCTACGGAGGGTGGGACAATCTCACCCGTAGCTGAGCCCACCAGACCTTGAAGCACCATGGGCCCTTTCCTTAAGGGTTTTTTGTTTGGTTTTGTTTTAATCCTACATCCAGGGCTAAAACATGTTTTCTTCATTTTCTGAAGAAAAAAGAAATGTGCAAAAGATTTTGCAAAATGTTCCCTGGAGCTAGTCACAGCCAGCTACCCAGAGGGATCAAGTAGTTGAACCTGTGGGCTTGAGACCATAGTCGCAGGGGACATCAAGCTCAATTGGCATAACATACTACACAAAACATTGTTCCACATCCTACTTTGGCAAGTAGTGACTGGGTTCTTAAAAGCTTGCAAGCTGCCATCTAGATGCAACGATGGGTCTCTCCTCATCCAGAGCAAAGAAGAATGAAGAAAACCAAAAAAAAAACCACAAAAATTCATGGAAACAATTAGTCCTAGCAACTGGTACACTGTCTGATCTGCAGCCTATATGACTATGAGACCAGAAGAACTAGATGGTGCCCGGCTACCACTGTCAACCACTTGAAAGGGGATCTATGTAGGAGATCCTTGATAGAGACAGAGAACAATGTGAAACAAAACTCAAAATCATTTGGAGAAAAAAAAAAAAGGGGGGGAAGGACCAGGTTTGCTGGTCTGATAAAGCCTGGTGGTACCACTGAGACTATGGTCCCTAGCTGCCCGTCAGGTCTGGAATTGAACCCACACCTGTGGCTTCCAGCCAAACAAAAGACAGACATATGAGTTGAACATTTACCTGAGGTAGATACACTCCTTAGAGAGAACAATCATGGGAGAAAGAAGGGCTGTTTATGCACTGGGAGACAGCTCAGGGGGCAGGAGTATATGGAGGGATGGACATAGGGAAGAGGTAACTATGGGGAGGAAGTGGGAGGAGAGCTGTTGCATTGTGGTAAATTGTGGTCAATGTCATGAGACAAAGTGTATGTGAACTGCTGTATGGAAAGTTAATTTGTCTGTAAATTTTCACCCAAATCACAATAAAAAAAGAAATAAAAATAAACAAAGAATGAACTTTGGAGCATAAATCACCAAAAAAAAAAAAAAAAAAAGTTCCCTGGAGCAAAGCAGCACGCTGAGGCCTGGTGGGGAGGGGCTGCTTTGCAGAAGGACAGGTTTTAAACTTGGGGCAAAATACTAGCTGTGAGGCTTCAGCTGAGAATCAAGACTGGATCTGGGGTCCAATCCAAATGAGGAAAGCTGGTGGACATTTGATTCTGTATGAATTTGGTGTGCCAATCAATCTCGCGTGTGCATGGAAAGGTAGGATCCTCAGTTCCCTTAGTGGCCATAGGAGACACAGGGGACAGGCCACTCCAGGGAGAACCAGAGACTCTGGGGTAAGGAACCTCCAGTAAACAAAGACACCAAACTGCAAGTTATGGGGCCTTGGCTGCTCCCCCAAGGACAGTGGAAGGCATAGAGCCAGGGCTACCCCTTTCTTCCTTGGCTATGTCCCTCCCACCATGGGGCCCTTCCTGGGCAGCTCTATCCCATTCTACCTGGGTGGTCCTAAGCAAATGGCATGCCTGACCTAGCTTCAATTCTCACCTGTGATTGACAATGCACCTGCCTGCAGAGCCCTGGTGGGGACTGGGTGGGACATGGTCACTTCTACAAATATCTACCATCATTAGCTTGTGTGGCCTCACAACAGCCCCAAAAGTGGAGAAGGGTTATTGTGCTCACTCTCCAGAGGAAGTACCTGAGGCTTAGAGTGGGAGCTGGCTGCTCCAGGCAGACTGGACTCTCCCAGTGTCTCGCACCTGCCAGATCCCTGCTTACTGTGTGTAAAAGCCCCCTACCCCCAACTCTGGCTAGGGAGATGCCTCCTGACTCTGCAAACCTGCCTGCTGTCTGCTTTTGTGGGAGAGTGGGGCTCATCCCCACCTGGGAGGAGGGGGAATGATGAATCACGGCAGTATAGTCTGGGGCTCTTTTCCCATGACTCCTCTCTGGCTGGTTGACAGCCCCAAAGTCCCTCAGTTTGAAGAGGACTTTCCCTTTCTCTGCCAGAGGAGAGCTGTTGACCATGTGTTGTCAGCTTACGGAGTGGAGGTCAGTCTGGGAATAGTCATAAGCTCATTCTCTCTGGTCTGGGTGCAGCTCTGTGAGCTTACCTTGTCCCACACCTGGGTGTACACCTGCCAAGTTCCCCCTCGTTGATCTGGGAGCAGTTCCAAGGAGTTCCCTTAGTCTCACACCTATCAAGTTCTTCCCTCACTGATTGATAGCTCTAAGGAGCTCACTTTGTCCCACACCTGCGCATGCACCTGTCAAGTTCACCTGCAGTCGAAGCACAGGAAGGTCTGCAGAGGCTGGGTCTTGACATCAGGCAGGCTCTGACCCCTGCTGGAGGGTGTAGGTGACTGGGAAGTGCAGTGTTGGTGCTCTATGTGTGTGAGTGGAGAGGTGGTCTGGCACTGGGGCAGGGTTCACGGTGGCGTGCTGTGCTATGTGGGTGAGTGTCCTCTGTAGGACGCATGCTCCTGGGTACACTGAGACCCACGTGCCAGTACAGTAACCCAGTACAGTAAGTGTGTGTTCCCATCTGCCCTCCCATCAGTCCCCTTGTGGTGCCAAGCAGGGAAGCAGACTAGGCTCAAGTCTGAGTTACAATCTCACACTGAGATCAACGTGAGAGAACTTCTCTTTGGCAGGCTGGGGTGGGGTGATGGGGTATCAAGAGGGTGGGTGTGGAAGGAAGGTCAGATGGGTGCTGGCCAGAGGCAAGGTGAGGGGGCCTGGAGGGAGGCTCACCCCAAAATAGGCGCTGTCCCCATCGGTCCAGAGCACGACAAGATCGGCATTCTCCAGCTCACCACGGTCAGACATGCCAAAGAGTATGCCGGCTTTGAGCTTCCGCACGAGGAGCTGGAAGTGGACGGCCTCCTGGGCATAGCTGACGTTCCAGGACAGCTCCAGGGTCCCCTCAGGGTCCAGGGGGATGTGATAGGGGAAAGGGCTCTCAGCAGGGGCTGAGCCCTGTAGTGCAGCCACCAGGATGACCAGGAATATGGCCACAGCAGTGCCATACATGGAGGCTGCCTCACGCACGGTAGGGCTGGGGAGGCTAGTCCACCTCTGCCGGTGGCTGATGGCTTGCATGCTGGCGTGTGCTCACTGGCCAAACCAGGCCATTTATGCCCTGGCCCTCGTGGGGGTGGGCCTGGGCTGCTCTGGTAATCACATTTGTCTGGTGGGCAATTCAATTGTTCCCTACCCCTCCCACCAGCCCATGCCCCAGGCCAAACACTGGGCGCCCTCCCTTCCCTAATTGGCACTAATGACGCATGGACATCATCAGTGGGATTGGAGGCTACAGCTGCCCCATCCCTCTGGCCCCTGAGGAGCTGTCTGGGAAGCAGCACCTTGCAGCCACCAACCAATCAGTCTGTACTGAACCCACATGGGCTCCACTCTCCTCACCCACCCTGGCTGGATGGGCTGGGGGCCACCACCATTCACAGAGGAGGAGGCTGAAGCCAGGAGGGGTTACTTTTGAGATGACCTATGAGTGAGGGGCTCCCAGCTACTGTGGCCCTGAACCCAGCATTCGTTTCTACAACAACAAAGGGTGGGGAGTGGACAAATTTCAAACCAAAAATAAAAGACAATCCCCAAATAGGCCCTGTGTTTAGACACTCTCTCCACGTCCTGCTGTTTCCCACTTTGTCTCCTTTCTATTTCCCAATAGGCTCCAGCTGGCAGCCATGGCTGCTCCAGAAGGCGTGGGTGCATTATTGTGTGTGTGGGTGCACCAAGCAATGGTTGGGGACAGACTGCAGGTGCATTGCTGGAGGGCAGGCTGCAGGGTGCACTACTGGGGGTACAATTTTAGGGAAGCAGACTATGGGGTGCACTGCTGGGAGAAGACAGCATGGAGCATGACTGGGGTGACAGCTGCAGTGTACATTTCTGGGAGAGCAGGCTGTGGGAAATATTGCTGTGGGGGCTGGGGAGCAGACTTCAGGGTGCATCACTGAGTGGCCATAAGAGGACCAGGCCTGAATCTGAGTCCTCCTATGCCCACCTGCCTCCAACCTGCTACTTCCGCACCAGGCAAGTCACGCCCAGATCTGGCGCTAGAGGGAGAAATGGAACAGGGAGCATGCAGGGCTCTCACGTCCCCAGCAAACCCACTAACAAAAACCAGCAGCTGCTGCAAATCTGGGGTTACTGCACTCCATGTACTGGCTCAGGAAGAGATTACCCAGCCAGCCCCAGGGCCACAGCCTCTAGCTAGAAAGCAGGTAGAGGAACTCCAGCTCATGCTGGAAGGACACAGTGGCACTAAGGACTCAAGCTGTGCCCATGATCATCTCCCAGGCTGCCAGAGAGTCAGGTTTAAATCCGCTCCACCCCAACTGAGCACCCAGCTAGGCCTGCTCAGGAAAGCACATTCCAACCAGTGGCATCACTAGATGGGTACCGGGGGGCGGGGTGCAGCCTGCACCAAGTGACACTGCCAGAGGCAGTGATACCAAAAGGACTGTCTATGAAATTTGTGTGTAGTATTTCAAAAGAAATTTATGGTTTTTTAAATTAAAATACGCCTGTAGTTAGTTATAACAACAAAAAACATTTTTCGTAAGGCCAGTTACATATATCAATATGCCTGTTGTTGTTAGGTGCTGTCAAGTCAGCTCCAACTCATGGTGACCCTACGCACAACAGAAAGAAACATTGCCCGGTCCTGCGTCGTCCTCACAATCCTTGCTATGCTTGAGCCCATCATTGCAGCCACTGTGTCAATCCACTTTGTTGAGGGTGTTCCCCTTTTTCAATGACTCTCTATTTTACCCAGCATGATATCCTTCTCCAGGGATTGGTCCCTTCTGACATGACCAAAGTAAGTGAGACGAAGTCTGGGCATTCTTGCCTTCAAGAATTCCTCCTGTACCCTCTTCCAAGACAGATTTGTTTGTTCTTCTGGCAGTCCATGGTATTTTCAGCATTCTTCATCAACACCACAATTCAAAGGCATCAACTCTTCTTCAGTCTTCCTTATTTATTGTCCAGCTTTTCACATGCATATGAGGTGACTAAAAAGGCCATGGAGTGGGGTAGGTGCACCTTAGTCTTCAAAGTGACATCTTTGCTCTGTAACATTTTGAAGAGATTTTAGCAGATTTGACTAGTGCAATACAATGTCTGATTTCTTGACTGCTGCTTCCATGAATTGATTCAAATAAAATGAAATCCCTGACTTCAATCATTTCTCTATTCATCATGATGTTGCTTATTGGTCCAGTTGTGAAGATTTTTGTTTTCTTTATATTGAGATGTAATCCATACTGAAGACTGTAGTCTTTGATCTTCATCAGTAAATGCTTCAAGTCTCCTTTACTTTCAGGAAGCAAGGTTGTGTTATCTGCATATTACAGATCGTTAATCAATCATCCTCTAATCCTGATGTTGCCTTCTTCTTCATATAGACCAGCTTCTTGGATTATTTGCTCAGCATACAGATGGAATAAGTATGGTGAGAAAATACTACCTGGGTGCACATCCTTCCTGATTTTAAACCATGCAGTATTCCCTTGTTCTGTTTGAACAACTGCCTGTTGGTCTATATACAGGTTCCTTGTGGGTACAATTGGGTGCTCTGGGATTCTCATTCTTCACAATGTTATCCATAATTTGTTATGGTGCACACAGTAGAATGCCTTTGCATAGTCAATAAAACACAAGTAAACATCTTTCTGGTATTCTTTGCTTTCAGTGAAGATCCATCTGACATCAGCAATGATTTCCCTCATTCCACGTCCTCTTCTGAATCCAGCTTGAATATGGCAGTTACCTGTCAATATACTGCTGCAACTGTTTTTCAATTATCTTCAGCAAAATTTTACTTGTGTGTGATATTAATGATATTGTTCAATAATTTCTGCATTCTGCTGAATCACCTTTTTTTGGAATGGCACATATATGGATCTCTTCCAGATGGTTGATCAGGTAGCTGTCTTCCAAGTTTCTTGGCAAAAACTAGTAAGCGCCTCCAGCACTACAACTGTTTGTTGAAACATCTCAATGGGTATTCCATTGTGTTAGATTGGGTTCTCTAGAGAAACACAAAAACCAGCAAAGCATATATATATATATATATAGAGAGAGAGAGAGAGAGAGAGAGAGAGAGCGAGCAATTCTTGGAGCCTTGTTTTTCACCACTTCCTTCAGTGTAGCTTAGACTTCTTCCTTCAGTACCATTGGTTCTTGATCATATGCTGCCTCCTGAAATGGTTGAATGTCAACCAATTCTTTTTGGTACAGTGACTCTGTATATTACTTCCACCTTCTTTTGATGCTTCCTGTGTCATTTTATATTTTTCCCATACAATCCTTCAATATTGCAACTCAAGGCTTGAATTTTCACTTCAGTTCTTTCAGCTTGAGAAATGCCAAGCATGTTCTTCCCTTTTGGTTTTCTAATTCCCAGTCTTTGCACATTTCATTATAATACTTTACTTTGTCTTTTCAAGCTGCCTTTTGAAATCTACTGTTCAGCTCTTTTACTTCACCCTTTCTTCCTTTCGCTTTAGCTACTCCTGTTACAGAATAAGTTTTAGAATCTCTTCTGACTCCATTTTGGTATTCTCTTCCTTCCTTGTCTTTTTAATGACCTTTTGCTTTCTTCATGTAAGATATCTTTGATGTCATCCCATAATTCATCTGGTCTTCAATCATTAGTGTTCAGTGCATCAAATCTATTCTACAGATGGTCTTTAAATTCAGAGATATATCCAAGGCCATATTTTGACTCTCATCAACTTGATAAGACTTGTTTTAATTTTCTTCAGCTTCAACTTAAACTTGTATAGAAGCAATTGATGGTCTATTCCACAGTTGGCCCCTGGTCTTGTTCTGATTGATGATAGTGAGCTTCTCCATCATCTGTTTCCACAAATGTAGTGGATTTGATTCCATCTGGTGAGGTCAAGGCCCATGTGTACAGTCACTGTTTACATTGTTGAAAAAAGTGGTACTAGCAATGAGTAAGTTGTTGGTCTTGCAAAATTCTATCATGCAATCTCCAGGATCATTTCTATCACCAAGGCCATATTTTCCAAATACCAAAACTTCTCATTTGTTTCCAACTTTCACATTCCAATTGCCAGTAATGATCAATGCATCTTGATTGCATGTTTGGTTTACTTCATACTGCAGAAGTTGGGGAAAATCTTTAATTTCTTCATCTTTGACTTTAGTAGTTTATGCATAAGTTTGATTAATAGTAGTATTACCAATTCTTCCTTATGGGCATATGGATATTATTCTATCACTGACAGCATTGAACTTCAGGATAGATTTATCCCCATTTATCTTTTCTTTTTGGTTGCTATTGTAAATGGCATTGATTTCCTTATTTCCTTTTCAGGGACCTCTTTGCTGGTGTAGAGGAATCCAACAGATTTTTGAATGTTGATCTTGTATCTGGCCACTATGGTAAATCTATCAAGAAACTCCAGCAGTTTTCTTGCTGAATCTCTTGGGTTTTCTATATATAGAATCATATCACCTGCAAATAGGGATAGTTTTACTTCTTCTTTACCAGTTTGGATGTCTTTTATTTCCCTTTCTTGCCTTATAGCCCTGGCTAGGACTTCCAATACAATTTTGAATAGAAGTGGAGATAGGCGGCATCCTTGTCTGGTTCGTATTCACAAGGGGAACAGTTTCTCTCCATTGAGAATAATGTTGACTGTTGGTTTTGCATATATGCCCTTTATTATGTTGAGGAATTTTCCTTCTATTCCTATTTTTCTGAGAGTTCTTATCAGAAATAGATGTTGAATTTTATCCAATGCCTTTTCTGCATTGATCGACATGATCATGTGATTATTTTCCTTTATTTTCCTTATGTGATGGATTGTGTTGATTGTTTTTCTAATGTTGAACCATCCTTGCATAGCTGGTATGAATGTCTTTTGGTCATGATATATTATTTTTTTGATATGTTGTTGGAGTCTATTGGCTAGGATTTTGTTGAAGATTTTTGCATCTATATTCATGAGGGATATTGGTCTGTAGTTTTCCTTTCTAGTGGTTTCTTTGCTTGGGTTTGGTATCAGGGTTATGTTTGCTTCATAAAATGAATTGGGGAGGAT